CTTCCTTCCTTCCTTCCTTTCTTTCTTTCTTTTCTTTTCTTTTGGTCAGTTGTGGGTCTTGAACTCTGGGCCTGGGCACTGTCCCTCAGCTCAAGGCTAGCGCTCTGCCACTTGAGCCACAGTGCCACTTCCGGTTTTCTGGTGGTTTATTGGAGACAAGAGTCTCATGGACTTTCCTGCCTGGGCTGGCTTTGAACCTTGATCCTCAGATCTCAGCCTCCTAAGTAGCTAGGATTATAGGCATGAGCCACTGGTGCCCAGTGTGAGTACGTTTCTTTTTCCTTTTTTTCTTTTTTTGTAGGTTGTGGGGCCTGAACTCTGCCTGGGTGCTGTCCCTCAGCTCTTCAGCTCACAGCTAGCGTTCTACCACTTGAGCCACAATGCAACTTCCGGCCTATTTTGCTAATGTGGTGCTGAGGAATCAAACCCAAGGCCTCATGCATGCAAGGCAAGTATTCTACCACTGAGCCACCTTCCCAGCCCCAGTGAATACATTTCTTATTGAACCAGTTACCTCCTCCCTCATTTTTCTCCCACATTTCTTCCCCCTATTCCCCCTTATGATATCTTTTTTTATTTTTATTTTTTTAATTGTGAAAATACTGTACAGAGGGGTTACAATTACATGGGCAAGATAATGAGTACATTTCTTATCAAGCATTATAGCCTCCTCCTTTGTCCCTTATGATATCTTTTATAATGAGCTGGTTAAAGTAAATAAAATGCTTCCCTGAATTTTGTGAGCTGTTAGAGTCAATGATTAAACTCAAGAAGAAGTCATAGGAAATCTCGCTTTGTAGCTAAGCCAGAGTGCCACTGGGGATCCACTCATGGTTGGCCTGTGAACTGGGAAGAGTAGAGTGAGAATGAGCTGTAAACCTATGAATAAGTCAGAGTAGGTATTATCAGAATGGAAGTAAATTATAGGACACCAGATTGTTGTGCACAGGGAACTGAAGACTTGCTTAGCATAGAAAATTCACACATATAATCTGAGAAATATTACAAGTAGAGGAAAGGTGTTGTTGGTCATATTTATTAAGGAATCTATATCCAGCATCATTGACATTAATGATTAGTTCCAATATTGTTAGTAGTCATTTTGATACTAGAGTGTTGTCCAGTATTTTTTGCTCACAATCTCCTTCAATAGCTACATAGCCGTAATTTGTCTTCATCTTCAAAAGGATGTAACACCCATTTTCCTGATTACCCACAAATTAACTCATTAGTGATGTGATTGAATATGATCTTTGCCCGAAAGTTTTTAACTTTCTCCACAGCATGAGTTTCATCTTAAATCAGTGTCATATTCCTTTTAGTTTAGATACTCATTTTGTTTCAAATTGATTTTTAAAGTGACAAGTAAAACTTATATGTATTTATGAATCAACATGGAGTTTTATGAATTCTGAATCTCACAATACGAAGGCCTCACCAGGACTCCCTATGTCTCCACCAGAGTTACAGACATTGTCGATAATGAGCAAATCACTTATTCCGCTTCTCAAAATGCTTTTAAGTGAGAATTCAATTGATTTTTACCTCTTAGTTGCCTCAGACTGAGGATTTTATTTACTTGTATAGAATTTACTTACGTTAAAATTCAAAGGCCAATTATGATACTTGCCACATTAAAGTCATTAAACATTAGACATGAATTATAATGAAGTATCTATACATATATAGACCTCTATCCATCCATCCATCCATCTATCTATCTATCTATCTATCTATCTATCTATCTATCTATCTATCTATCCATCCATCCATCTATCATCTATCAATCACTCTAGCTATACTTGGAGAGGATTAAGCCCAGGGTCCTAAACGTGCTAGGTAAATGCTTCACAACTTGCATTTAAGCCCTCAATCATTTTGGGATTAATTTGTTTTTGAGGCAGTCTTACCATGACTTTTTCAGGAGGCTGGCCTCTAACTTGAAATCCTCCTGCCTCTACCTTTGAAGTAGTAAAGGATGACAGGTGAGAGCCATCAAGCCTGGCTCTTGATTGCATTTTTGATGTCTGATTATTAACAACTTTCAAGCTCCAAGCCTCCCTTTGTCTCTTCCATTATTGCATCACATCTGGGCAGGTTGATAAGAAAATCTGCAAACTCTTGTTTTTGATGTTGGTTAGAAATTCTAAGAAGACAAGTCCCAGCCTGTGAACTCTTCCAGTAAGCTCTATCCTCTCACCACAAGAAAAGTCGGTCTGTCATTTCAACTTGCTCCTTCTACTCAGTGTGGCACATGTTCAAGAACTTTCTATACTGTTGCCAAAATGCCCCATCAGATGCACACTAAGCTCTTGATACATGTATGTGCCATAAATTTGTTGTATGTAATTGCTTCCTCTGCACTAATTCTTAGGCCTCACATAACTTGAACATGCATGCTTTTCTTCTGGAGTCAGATATGATACAATTATATAGATTATCATGTTTTTCTTAATCACATAGGTTGGAAGTGGAGAAACTAGATGACTAAAATGATATAACATTCTATTATTGTTCAAAGAACAGTAAATATAGTTTGCAAGTGTGCACATGGACAATTTTAGCATACATTCTAAAAGCAATAGACAGGCAAAGGTGTTATAATGTAAGGTACTGTAATCCAAAAGACAAAAGAAAAGAAAAAGATGTAGGAAGACAATATAGAATGAAAGCCTCAAAATAATGAAGGAATAAGATCAACTGTATCAGTAATTACAGTAAGTATAGGTAGATTACAGCATCAGTGACTAAGGCATGCATTGAGCAACTTGATATACTAGGTACCATTCTTGATTCATTCATCTACTGAGAGGCATCTGGGTTGGTTCCATATCTTAGCTATGGAGTAGATCAGTGTTTTTACTGCTGCAGGTTGAACATAAATGTTCTACTTTCTTTTGCAAACCTGTCAGCAATAGCTTATCTCTTTATCAAAACTCCAGTAGAGCTATGTGGGTTACATCTCCTGATCTTGCTTAATATAGTTGTTTCCTCAGCACTCATTTTTAGGCCTGGAATACTTTGTTCCTACATGAAACCTCATTTGGAGTCAGATGTGAGATGCAATACCATTACATGAGTGTTATTCATTGTGTGTGTGTGTGTGTGTGTGTGTGTGAATGGCCCTAGGTGTTTCTAGTTGGGTATTTTCCTGATGTCACCTGTCATTCTCTACTGCATTTTTCTTTCTTTCTTTTTTCAGAAGTGGGGATTGAACACAAGCTCTTACCACTTGAACCATATCCCTAGCCCTTTTGTTTTAGTTTTTATTTTTCCCTGGTAGGATCTTATGCTTTTTCCCAGGCCAGCTTTGGACCATGATCTTCCCACATCTGCTTCTCAAGTAGTTGGAATTTCAAATGTGAGCCACCATTCCTAGCCCCCATCTTTCTTTTGTTTTCCTTGAAATCTCTTATACCTCCCTGTACTATTAATATAAGTAAATAAAAATGTTTTGTTCTTGCCTTGCCATTCTTAAATGTAATAATTATGTCTCACGTGTGGATATATTTTTGTCAAAGTATTTTGAGTACTTTTTTTAATTAGGGAGGGATGTAGGGAATTGTCCTAAATCTGAAAATGAAGGAAATCTTATTTCTTTGATATTTTCTTGATTTGCTTCTTCTTGTCTTCAGAGTTCTTCCTAGTTGTGTGTCTGATAGCCTGTATTGTTCCCTGTTACTCCTTTTGTTTCTTGATGTAATTTAGTTTTAGATCTTTTCTTCTGATTTTTAAGGATGCCCTTGCATCGTTTATGATCAAAGTCTCAGAAAAGGAGAACACAGCGGATCCTGAAACATAAACGTGAGATATGAAATGACTGAATTGCCTGGAAAACCCATTTCAGGAAAACAAATTATGCATCATATTTTGGGATATGTCACTGCTCATCTGTCCCACCCCTGACACCCCTCCCCACTTCCCTCTAGTTCACCTATGTAAAATTCCATCATCTGACTGTTGTGTGAATCCAACTTCCACCCCAGGAGGGAGGCCTCAGCTTTGAGCACCCTCTGGCTGCCAGAACATAAAGACAGCAAAAACCTCTGCTGCCGCTTCTGGTCAGCCTCATTCAGTCTCAGTGCCTGGATGGGGAAGAACATAATGGATTCTCCTGGAGACTTGTCTCTTTCACAGTATGTCTACTGCTTTCGGATGCCTGCCCCCAAACTTGGTTATCTTTCTAATATTTCTTTGTTAAGCTTTTTAGGGTTTCTTTACTTTTCCTTCCTGACTTAAACATAGTAATTTAAAATCTTGCTGATTTGCCATACTAGGTTGAATCGGACAGGGAATAATAGAGTAAAAAGCTAAGATATAGATACAAGAGTCACAAATTAAGTAAACTATGTAAGTAGAATTGAAGGAGAGAAGAAAGGGAGTCTTACTAGGAGACAAAATGGAAAAAAATCACCTCTGTGATTATGTGTTCATTGTTCTGCTTGTTTCCTACTAATTATAACATTTCTGGCAAACCGTGTGCCATCAGTCCATATGCTTAGACAGAATATGCAAATAAATGAGTTCCTGATAGGAGAATGCTTCAGTCCTGAAGTTGTGCTACAGAGTAGGCTGACCATCTTTTCAGAAATAACGTACAGAGGATTTGTGCCCCCGGAAGGAGTTTAAATCTCAAACATTTCTTGTATGGATTTGATTCCAGACATGTCAACCCATTATTTTAGAAAAATGTCTCCAACCAGAAAAATGATACAACACTGGTCAGTGTGGTGTAGAGTGGTTTTCCTTGTTATACTGAATTCTTGAATATTTCTGAAGTTGATTGGGCCTTTCCAAAAAAAAGAGACTTGTAGGTAAAACCACTTCTTAATGTTAGTGACAGTAGGAAACAAGGTTGTATGTATAAATGACATCAGAGTCCAAGTAGCTTTCCTCATCAAAAACCTAAAATTGTTTGAAGAGTTTTCTCTGTTATCAGTATAAGATCATCAACCAAACAAAACACTCACGTTTTTCCAGCGTGGTATAACTCCAAGGCTTTGTGGAGCTGTTTAAAAGGCAGCTGATGAGTTACCAGAGGATCTATATTAATTTTATTTTGCAGGTAGTCAGACACTATTTGAGGAATACAGTCTCTGGTTTTATAATCTGTAAGACAAAAAGGCTAATTGTAGTAAGATGTGAGAAGATCACCAACTAAAAGATTAAAAAAAATCAAGTCATGGAGATGGTAAGATATTATCTGAAAATTTGCTATTGAACATGAAGGGCAACTTATTTGTATCTCAGAAGTTGTTGACTGGTTGCTAAGTGCGGCGATCACTGACATCTCTGTTACTTATCACTGTTTTGGAGAAAAACTGGGTCACTATTGATATTACTGAGTTTTAAAAATGACCCCTTTATCCATATCAATCCATCTTCTGTTTCCTCCCTTCTCTGTCTACATACATGGAGATAGAACGGGAGCTGACACCAGAAGAATGTTTAGAAATGGAAGTGTTAATTTACTAAAGCTGTTAAGCATTGTTGTTTAGAAATAGAAGTTCTTTGGAAAGATCAAAACCAATGTCAAAATATATAATAATCCAAAGGCATTACTGTTAAAATAGCATGACAAAGTTTGAATCCATGAATGCAGAGCTAACACCTTCTCCACTATTTATTAAGTTAATTAAAATTGATTTGCAATCCAAGTCCTTGTGCTACTCAGGAGACTGAGATCAAGGATTACAGTGGGAAGCCAGCCCTAGCAGACAAATTCAAGAGACTCTAACTCTAGTTAATTAGCAAACAAAAACAAAAACAAAAACCCCCCACAACAACCTGGAAGTAGATGCATGATTCAACATGATTCAAGTTGTAGAGTGTCAAGTATGAATGAGAAAGCCTAGAGTACCAGGCTCTGAGTTCAAGCCACAGTATAGACATTTAAAAGGAAAAAAAGATATTAATTTACAAAGTATACCAATTCATTAGAGAAGGAGTCTTTTTCACCTTCACTATCTGTTTCCCTGAGAGGAAGAGCTTTGTCTACCATGGTTCTGAAAAATTGAAAGTGATCTCCAGAACAGACTGAGCCCTTCCATTCAACTACCTACCTCCTAAGCAGACACCTTTCAGTGTTTTTCCAGTGATAATCTTGATTGCCTCCAGGCAAAGCTTTGAATCTGGTGAGGCCACCCCAATGATCACACAGACACCATAGCTGTTGTTGCAGGAGTTCCAAGCAGCTGTCTAATAATAAAATAATGGCCATGCATAAATACCAGCTACCCCCTGAGGTAGGAAGAATCTTGAAGACTCTAGATTTTCAGCCTGCTCTTGGGTAGATGCTACTTTAACTTTCCTTCAATGCTGCAAATAATGGGAAATTTATTAGCAAACCGTCATAAAAAGCAAAGATTGTGCACTTTATGTGACCTTAGGCAAGTTACTTAATGTCCTTTTGGCTTAGTTTCCTTGTTTGCAGAAAGAAGAATGGTATTTGCTGCATAGCATTGTTAGGATTTATTATTCTTAGGAAATGATCAGGTACCTGGTAAATTTTATTGAATAATATTACCCATGCCTCAAAGGTCATATAGAGCATCCTTTGCTTGATCTTTTCATTTGCTGTGTTTTCTGTCCAATTCATTTCTAGTAAAACCAAACAAAACCAATATATACATATATACTGTGTGGGTGAATCTTCATTTTAAAAAAGTTCAACTTCTAAGGATCTACAGTGTATGTCTTCATATCCTATCTGTCTTACTTTTGTTTCTGGTTTATAATCCCATTTTCTTCTTCTTTTCCTTTACTTTACCTTATTTGCCTCTTCCTTGTCACCTGTATCCCCGTGTTTACTCTCCCCAGTCTTTGACCAAGTACATTAGGTACCTGTTTCAGTGTATGAATTATCTGTCTTCTCTTTAAACTGTGATTCAAGAGGATGAGGCCCACTTCCTTCACTTCTGTGTCCATAGGACCTGACTCACTGTGAAGCATGAGAACTAAGCAGACATTTTCAATGGAATGAAGGGTTCTGATGGAATACACAAATAAATATCATATGTGAACCCAACAGTGCTCATACCCAAGTATATTCACAGATATGATGAGCTAGAATAGCCAAAAGGAAAGTCTGCTATATACCTTTTTTTGTATGCTTAAATTTTGTAAGTCCTAAAGATGTATCTTTCAGCTTATATTGTTTTATTTTTAAAATGAATGTTTTGGGGTGAATTTGCACTCTTAATTTTCACATAGGGTGCTCAAGACTAACACATACTTCCAGGAGAGTTTGTGTTTGTGAGACTACTTAACTTGTACCTACATGTTGACATGCAGTACCTCCTTACCCTGACCTAAGCCCACATACCATGGTTTCAATATGTCCAATGGCTTCAAAGGCAAAATCAACACCAATGCCAGTCATTTCCATCACTACCTCCTGGACAGGTTTCTGGAGGGCCCGTGGGTTGAGACAATCAGTGACCCCTAAGGCTCTTGCCCGGGGAAACTTCTCTTCATTGATGTCCACGCCGATGATCCTAGATGCACCAGAGGCTTTGCAGCCCATGACAATGGCTGAGCCAACTCCTCCAAGTCCATACACCACACAGGTGGACCCAGGGGTGACCTGAAAATTAATAAAGCGTACTTTTATTAGATAGTATCTAAGTTGAGCATGTAGAACGTTAAGAAAATAAGCAACAAAATAAAAACACAACCCATGAGCCTTCTGGAAATATATAAATATAAATTTATCTTATATGTATTTATCTCTTTGGACAGATTTGGCCATATATATGTTATAAATATAAATATACATATACTTGACATCTATACATATATATATATAGTCAGTCATATATATATGTGTGTGTGTACATACATGTATATAAAGTAATTGTTCAAGAAAGTTTCAATTCATCAAGTTAGATTATGAGTACAATTCATCTTGATCATTATCCTCCCTTCCATTGTTCTCCCCGGTATTGCCCCACACCTCTGATACTTTTTTTCAGGCAAATTACAAAGACATGCTAACATGCAAGTAACGTCCTCACCTTGGCTGACCGAACAGCAGCCCCATAGCCTGTTGGTACTCCACAGCTTATGAGACAAACTTTATCCATAGGTGAAGCAGCATCAATTTTTGCCACTGCGATCTCAGGCACCACAGTATATTCAGTGAATGTGCTTACTCGGAAAGAGTGATAAATCTTCTCTCCTTTGCAGCTGAATCTGCTGGTCCCATCCAGCATCAACCCAGAACAAGGCAGAACACTGTTTCACAGTGTCATAGACACAGGGACAGGTACCAGCACAGCCACATGGAGTTATAAAGAGAGAAATGGTTCTGATTAGCTCTATCAATGCTTGTACAACATAAAACAATTTAACAAAAGAGTGAAGGATATATCTACTAACTCTTGCTTATCACAGAAGTTTCCTTTGGGGTGCAAACAGAAGCTGCATTCGCCACACTGTGGAATAATCAGTGTGAGGACTTTGTCTCCTACATAGAGGAAAAAAGATGTGTCATCAATGATTTGAAAATATTAATGAAGTAAACATGCAATTCATATTTACACACATTTTGATGGATTTAGCACATGCTGTTAATGCATCATGACAACCAGCGTACCATCTGTAGTTATTAAAAAGAAGAAAACATTTCTCCTGTTTACAAAAATCCCATTTTTATTTTGGGCAAATAGTGAGAATGTGGGGATGTTCCTTGCTGGCTGGAGTTATAGGCCTACTTGTCCTTACTCTGCAGATAGAATAATAAAGCCAGGAATGAACCGTAGAAATCAGTCATGTAGTTTACCTTTTCCTTCTATTTGAAGGATTTACTCTGATATTGATTGTCACCTGCTTCAACAGCTGGGTCATGGCAGAACTGTTTCCACTGAGTCTCCAGAAAGAGGCTCTTTCTAGGGCACTTTTACAGAGCTTTAGAGAGGTCACATTATTCGCTTGTGCCCCTGAGCACTAGGATGACAGTCTGAATAGGGTCTTGGAAGAGTTAATCTTTGCAGTCACTATGGATTTCTGAAGATCCTTTGTGAGGTCTTCAACATTGCCTTTATACCAGTCCTTATACATGTTTATACACAGAACAACTCTTTGAGATGGTATCTAAATCTCTAGTAAGTTTAGGCTGAGCACTAAAAATTTCCAGAGATATCAGATCTCAGGTTCTCTTGTCTCTTATCTGTTCTTCCTCTTATCATTTCCCGCAAAACTCCCACCAGAATGTTTCCATCTAAAGAGGAGTTAGAATGTATGCATCTCTCTGGTTTATAGGCCAGACCTTTGTGTTTTTGTTCTTTTCCTTGTGCCTGGTGTCAGGTACATGGTAGGCATTCCATAATTGCTTACTAAATGAATATATGGATGATGGCTGACTACACCCTTTCTTATATATCTTTCTGAAGCTAGCTCCAAAAGCTGTGGGAATCCTTTATTACCTTAATCTATGTGATTGGTCTTATTCACAGCAATCATTTCAGGCTTGCTAAGAATAGTCAAAGTCAAGATCCTTTTTGATCTGACTGGGGGGAAAGAATACAATTATTCTGTTGATTCTGTGCAGTGTCACTATCATCCTGTCAACTGAAAATTCAAACTCTACATTTTGGTTCATTCATTCATCAAACATTTGATCATTCCAATTCTGAGATAGGCATTGCAATAAGCATTCTGGGGCAGATACATACAATAATAATAAAAAGCTAATAAAATAATAAGTAAATAAGTAAACAAATAAAAAATGAAGCAGTCCCTAGGCCTGAGGACCTTTCTGTCAATGTTGATGTTCGCTAGTTCTACCTGGCTGTGGATACAGAGTTTGCTCAGATGGTATCTCCTTGGACTACTGCAGAGAGAAGCAGATGGAAAGGACAATGGTGTGATGCTTAGAAACCTGGCTACATTCGATATCACAATATGCTGTTAATTAGTAGACACTAAAAGAAAATATGTGACATATTATTAGTTGGGATAACATAGAGCAACCCAATTTGTATTTCTGGTGCATATGCTAATGCATTTGAAGTCCACCCTTATGCAGGAGATGCTGCATATTTTTTTGTGTTGAAATTCTTGATTTGGCTTTTCTTACCTGGCTTTACAGAGCTCACTCCATTACCGATACTCTCCACAATCCCAGCTCCTTCATGGCCTGGAACTAAAGGGAACTTCATTGGGAGTTCTCCTTTCAGCACGTGATCATCAGTACCACAGATCCCCGAAGATATCAACTACAGAGGAATCAAGTGGCCAATTAAGTGCTTTTGGATATTTTTTTGGCATTTTGTATGCAACTAAATATTAACATTTTTGTTTGAATTATCGCAATCTCTAGAACAGCACTCAGAGGAGCACAGGGAGAATCTTTGCATGTCCAACCATCTTGGAGATAGGTAAAGGTAATTTAAAGACCTTAGTGTGACTTACCCACAGTCATATGATTCATGTTCAGTCTTTCCACATCTAGTTTGTGTATACAATATTATCAAGATCTTCAAAAACCAAGGGTAGTTCTTATATGACATTTTTTGGGGGGAGGGGGACAAATCTCAACAGTAACAGCACTGAGAAACACAGAATTTTAAGACAGTCTTAAGAAGTATTTGTCCAATGCTTTGGATAAATTGCTTTTCAAAACTATAATCTGTGCATTGAAAGTATTCTTTTGTTTTGTTGTTGTTGTTCTTGTTGGTCATGGGGTCTGGGCGCTGTTTCTTAGCTCTTTTGTTCAAGGTTAGCACTCTACTGTTTTGAGCCACCGCTCCACTTCCAGTCTTTTGGTGTTTAATCGGAAATAAGAGTTTCATGGACTTTTCTGCCTGGGCTAACTTTGAACCATGATCCTCAGATATCAGCCTCCTGAGTATCTGGGAATACAGGCCTGAGCCACTGGCACTCAGCTGAAAATAATCTTTATTTTAATATTGAAAATGTTTTAAGTGAGATAACTGCTGTAAAACATAACTGTCCTTGAAAAGTTTGAAAACATTTTAGTGGTGAGTCCAACTGAATTTCATTGGATATTTGAAATGCAACATTTTATCTACTATAGCCCCACATATTACTGCCCTCCTCAGAATACTGCCAGAAAAACACAATGGCTCGTTTTCCATATCTTTAGGGGAAGGGACAACATTTTATTGTTATGACATTGTCTAGAGTTTAGTCTGGACTAGTGTGCCTCATGAACTTGCTGTTTACACATTCCAACTAGCTGAGTTGATGGGCTCACACCACTCTACCTTGCTTTATTAGTTGAGATGGGAGCCCCATGAATATTTTGCTCAGGCTGTCCTAGAATTTCCTAATCTCCTCCCCGCAAATACCTGAATTACAGGTATGAACCACCTTGCTCATTATAGCTAACTTTTAAAATAAAACATTATTTCCTTTTATTTGTCTTCAAAGGTTAAAAAGAAAAAGCTCAAAAGAACTCAATTTACCTTAATACGAACTTCTCCAGTTTTTGGTGGCTCCACTTGAACTTCTTCAATTGAAATGGAATTTTTTCCCCAGGCAATGGCTGCCTGACATGTGATTGTCTGTACACACAAGGGAAAAAAAAACAACATTTAATGATAACATGCAGTTTGTTTCTGATGATACATGAGATTGTAACAAATTGTTACAATTCGTAAAGTTTTTAAATCCTTTTTTTAAAAAAAGAAAAGAGGATCTGCATTTCAAGTGCAAACTGCTGAAATTTTAACGTTTTCTCTGTTTCAAAATAATTATTTTGAGATCAAACCCCAGAAGCAGTTTTTTACTCTCCCTCTCTTTCCCCCACCCTCAATAACATCCGCCATCTATGGAACAATATCTGTTCACTTGATGTAAGAATTTTCTTGCTGGGTGCTGGTAGCTCATGTGTGAAATGCTAGCTAGTTAGGATGTTGAGATCTTAGGATTGTGGTCCAAAGCCATCCCAGACAGAAAAATCTGCTGCATAACGCGAGGCCCCAAGTTCAAACAGTACTGGCACGAAATGACTTCAAAATTCTTTGTACTTCTAAATATTATCTGACTGGCAGCAATAGCTCATTATTTCTTTTCATTAGTATATCTTTCACTGCTAGTGATGTTGGATATTTTCTACATTTATGAGTGTCCTTTGAATTTTCTTTTATGTAGACTGTTCATAGATTTATGAAACTAATGGTATCTTTGTTTCTTGTTAATGCAGTTGAGTTCTTTATATATTAAAGGAGTGACTTGACAGCTAACTTGTCGCACATGTTTTTCCCTGATGATTTTTGTCCTTTTATTTTTGTGAGGAATTGGGCATATTTTTTACAATGTTGGAAAATAAAAATATCTCTTCCTTTTTATTTATTCCACGTTGACATTCTGGAAATCCTCTTTGTATAATAATCTCTTCTAGAATTATAATCTATTTTATAATTAAATAACTATTAAAGTTGAACTGAACATTATTTTGCAGAATGATGTAAACTAAAGCTAGAATCTAAACAGATTGTTTCAGATTGAGCTGGTAACTTATTGTTTTGCCTTTTCTGCCTAAATTAACTTTTTCCTTAGAGAACAAGTTCTTACAAGTTTCTCTTTGGGGGCTGTGTCTTGTTATGGTACTGGGAATTGAACCCATGACCTTGCACATTCTAGATGAGCACTTTACTAGTAAACTCTACCTCTAGTCCTTTTTGTCTTTACTTGTTGCAGCACCTCAGTGATTTCAGTAGCTTAACTTCTGATCTAAGCACTTAGGTTGTATGTGAGTTCTGTTTGCAGCCCTAGCTATTGGGCATAGTAATTTCAAAGTATACTGAGCCACGTAAACCTATGTGCCTTCAAGAAATTTAGATTCCAATGGAGAAAACTGCATGTTGTTATAGTATAAGTAAAAGGGTCACATGTCACACCATGCCAATATAATGATATGGAAAGCATTACTTCTTTCTGAGAACAAAAAAATTCACTGTATTAATGTTGCATTCAACTGCCAAGCTTATAGGAAAGAAATACTTTATGAAAATAGTTTCCTAATTTCAAACATAGTACACAACCCAAAGCCCTAATTCACATAAATGTACCATAATTTATGGAATCACTTTCATTATATTTGACATTTATTGTTTCAGGGTCACACTCTTTATCATAAGAGCACTGTTAATTTATGTATACAACATTATGCAATTATTTTCATGAAACAAATTTACAAGTCAAATGATAGACATATTTTTTAAGGCTTTCAAGACAATATTGTCAAATTATCACAGCTCCTAAGACATGATTCTCTTAGCATGGTGCCTATGTTTCCATGTCTTGAGAAACCTTGGGTATTGTCCCCCAAAATTGCTGGTAACCTGATTGGAGAAAACAAGATCTTCATTTCAATGTGCACATTTGATACCTACTAGTGAAGATGACAGAGGGCTATGGGAAAGGTAACATACTTACTTTTCCTTGGGTATCCATGGCGAATTCTTTGGTTTCCTTTGAGGCTTATGGGTATAGCTGAAAGGACTTTGATTCTGCAACTTGGCACACCGGACTGAGTATTTATAGCGTTTGCAAGGCACACATCATTAAAAATCATTACATAACTGCACATCAAGCTGGGGACAACCTCAGAGAAAGAAGTGGTTACAATCAACTTGAAAGTAAAGGAGGGTAAGGAATGTGGCAGAGCAGGAAAGCAAGGCAAGGGATAGAGATGAGAACAGTGCGAAGTGGGGAGAAAAGCAGTTTGAAGAAGAGGCTGTGGGGGAAAAGCAATAAATGACAAGAAAGCTGACGAGGAATATAAGGATAAGTTGAAAACATCACTTTCTCAACAGTTAATCTTTCTGGGCTATCAGTAACATGAAAGGCATTGCTAAATTAGATGACGATGACAGATACGACCATCTCTAGTTGTCAGGCAGATGAAAAACCCACTAAAAAGATGCAATCATAATAGAAAAAAGCTGAGATGTTAATTAATCACAAAGTCGGTAAGTGCTGAAGTTGATATAAAGCCAACCGAGAATAGTTAGAGTAATAGATAAGTGGGAATCTCATTCCATCCTGGAGAAAGGTGGTATTTATGTAAGACAAAGGAATGGGCAGCAGTTTCTAAATAGGGGACCCAGTCCCTCAAGGTGAAGTGAGTGAAATGATGTCTACTTGGCATTAGGTAATGATGATGGGGATGGGAGGGATGGAAGAAGAAGACTCTTCAATGCCATGTTTCTCAATGTTAGAAGCCATAGGAACCCTTGGGGGAAATTGTTAAGTTTTTAAGTGTGGGCCTTACACACTGAGAGTCTACTTTTATTGCATAAGGGTGCTCACCCAAGTTAACAAGAGGTTAAAAGACGTTAAGGGTGTGATATGACCTCTTGGCAGTTGGCTTTATCTGCCCCTCATTTATTGCTCTTCCATACTATTTCCCAGACTCCTTCAGACCCTCCTTTAGTGAGGACAATGTGACAGAGTCTCTACTGAAAATCTGTTCACAGCTAGTATAATCTGGGTAGGAATAGGGGGAGACAGTAATGTGACCAAAGGCCAGCAATGACAGGTTTTCCCTTGATCGCCTATGCAGTTTATAAGTTTCATTTGTAGGATTTTTGTATCTTTGAACAACTCAAAAATCTCTTAGAGTAAGTGGGGACCTTTCTTTTGTTAAGGCTTTTGCCTTAACTTGGAACAGAATTTGGATTAGGGTGGAGAAAATCCAGTTTGTACCCTGAAACCTGATCAATAGTATGCTCACCGAAGGCATCCCTGATCACTGTTTTACACAGAGAAGCATCACTTTTGGTGAGAAAGGAAGTAGTTGGTTGGGGGTGGAGGGACTTACACCTGTTCATGAGATAACCTGTTCTGCAATGTTCTGCTTCTCATGATTTCTACATCCACATACTGACAGAGAAATCTGTTTGGCGTGTGTTAAGCCTAACAATCTGATAAGGAGTATGATAAAGTGAAGAAATGTTCTGATATGCTTAGAAAGTCATCGTGAGCTTATTCTCAGCACCAATGGCATATTGTTGCAGGCTATAATAGCACTTTAATTTGTATGGCCAAGTTGCCGAAGATTACAGTTTTAATAGGCATATGGTCAAATCCTAAGAGATGGCAGGTTAAATTATTGCTTTATTACAAGAATAACTTCCAAGTGAAGTATGGTAGAAGTGTGTCATCAGTGACACAAGTGACTTCTGGGACCCAGTTTCTGTTACAACAGAAAGAGTAAGAACCCAATCTAGCTACTAAATTCTGACACAAACAAGCCTAGAGAAAGGAAGAAAGTAGTAAATAAAGAAAATAAAGGTCAGGAATGCAACTGGAAGCAAACTTCCAGTCAGTTCATTGACAGGACTTTTCCCTCTGTCCTGTGAAAAGCCATTAGGCTCAGTAAGCAAGAACAGGAATGCCAGCATTAATAGACCATAGCTTCACTTCTTTCACGCTCTAGCAGAAGCAAGAAATACAGCTTTTCTGTGCCCTAGTTTCCCTACTAACAAGGTGAGAAGGTTATGGCGTTCCTACCGCACAGGTTAATATTTTGCCCAGCATGCAACAGAACCTAACTGTAAGTATTTCTCACAGTTCTTATGATATCTCTCAGTATATTAGCTTCATCATTTTCACTATTGAATTGCTCTTGCCACATTGTTGTAAAATGTCTGCTCAAAAAAACGTAACACGAGAATTTGTAATTGAGTCCTAAATGAAATGCTCAGCTTTTGCTTTTTTGAAATAACAGCTTTGCTACTAAAGTATTCTCCAGACCTGTTAATGCTTTGTGTCTAAATCCTTCTTTAGAAGCCAACTGCAAGGAGAGTAAAGATCTTGAATCTCTTGTTTTTCTCTATCTCAAGTATTTCATTCATGCTAGGAATAGTATAGTCATTCTAATTATTCTTTTATCCTTTGTTACTTCTCATGCCTTTTTTTTTTTTTGGTTCTGTCCTGAGGCCTGAACTCTGGGCCTGGGCGCTGTCCCTCAGCTCTTCAGCTCAAGGCTAGTGCTCTACCACTTGAGCCACAGCACCACTTCCGGCTTTTTCTGCTTATGTGGGCCTTATGCATGCAAGGCAAGCACTCTACCACTGAGCCACCTTCCCAGCCCCCTCATGCCTCTTTTTAATAGTAGGTTTTTATTTTGTTTTGTTTTGTTTTTCAATTAAAAATGTTAGATGGCTGGGCACTGGTGGCTTATGCCTATAATTCTAGTTACTCAAGAGACTGAGATCTGAGGATCAAGGTTTGAATCTAGCCCTGGCAGAAAAGTCTGGGAGACAGTAATCTACAATCAACTAGCAAAAAGCAGAAAATGGGATGTAGCTCAAGTGGAGGCTCCAGCCTTCTGTGAAAATGTCTAGAGAGAGCAAGAGGCCCTGAGTTCAAGGCCCCAGTACTGGCATAAAAACAAAAGTAATGTTTGTCTTAGAAAAAGTTTTAAGTGCAATTTGGGCATAGTGGTTCACTTCTGGTAATTTAATTTACTTCAGAGGCAGCGATCTGAAGAATCACACACAGTTTGGGCCCACCCTAGGCAAAATATTAGCAAGACTCCATCTCAGTTAACAAGATGGATTACTTGTCTGTAATGCCATCTATCTAGGAAATGGAGGTAGCCAGCTCGGAGTAAAAGCTTAAGACTGTTTGAAAAATAACCAAAGCAAAAAATGACTGGGGGTCTGGCTCAAGTGAAAAATAACCAAAGCAAAAAATGACTGGAGGTCTGGCATATGCCTAGCAAGAGCAAGACAATTTAGTTTGAACGCTAGTACCACTACCCCCTTCAAGAAAAGAAAATTTAGAAAATACAAAACACAAAAAGGGAGAAAATAAAAATTCTTACACTCATTTAGTTGGATTTTACAATGTTTCCTACATATTTATAAATTCTGTATGTATATATGTAAAAATTAAAAAATGTATGATTGTTTTTTTCAGAATCTTTCTTTCAAATATACAATTTGTATATTGCATTTTAATATTTTTTATTTTTGAATTTCTGAAATAGGGTCTTATTATGCAAGGCAAGCACTCTACCACTGAGCCACCTTTCCAGCCTGGGTCTTATTATGTAATCCAGATTGGAATTGAGTTTATAAGCCTCCTGTGTATGCTTTCTAATTGCTGGGATTACAGGTGTGCACCATTATGGCCAGGGTTTCTGTTTTGCATTTAAAAAGCCTAATGTTACATTATGAGCATTTCTGTGCTGTTAAATACTCATTGGAAATACACTCATTAGTAGCATATCTTATCCATATTATATCCTATAATTTAAATACACCTTTATTGTAGTTTTGGGATACTTTCAACTTTTTGATGTAATAAGAAATTAAGTAATCTTTTATGAACACAAGAGGTTTTTTTCTTTGTCACTGTTGTTTTTAATGTACGATGTGGGTTTTGTTTGTTTGTTTGTTTGTTTTATATGTTATTCCCCCATGGCATAACCCCTGTTGTCACTGTATTTGATTCTGATGCCCTGCATCCTGCATATACATTTTTCTACTTTGGGGAGGAGAAGGGAAATAACAAAATGCTGAAACAAGGATACAGGTTGACCCATTGTAACAATGCGATGTACAAGACACTATGTTGAAAACGAACTTTACAACTTGGGGTGGGGAGGGAAGAGTTTGAGAGGTGGGGAGGGAAGGGATGGTAGGGGAAAAACAAAGGAGGGAATAACAATGCTTGATAGGAAATTTATTCATTACCTTACTCATGTAATTGTAACCCCTCTGTACAGTATCTTTACAATAAATATATTAAAAAAGAAATTAATCTTAAAATTAAAGAGTCTATGTCATGAAAATCATTCATTATGCAAAGATTCAAGATTGATCAAAGAACATGACCTTTAAGAATATACACATATGCATTCACACATATGAAACAAAGAAAGGCTCAAGTGTAGAGCTCCAGTGAAGTTTTCCTTTTGTGTTTATCTTTGTGTTCCATGAGGCTTTGCATCTCCCTACTCAGCCAGCACCTTCAAGGGTAAGGACTGCCCTGTTTTTATTATCACAGAAGCATCCTGATCACTTTTGTACTTTATTATAAATAGGAACACACAATTTTATTCTGTGCCTACTTTTGCTCAACAACAAGATGATACTAGATATTAGAATAATAGTTATAAGCTCAGGAATGCCAATGATCATGGAAAGCCACCAGGACCTGGGTGGAAAGGCATAGGATAGATTGTATTTCAGGCCCTTCTGAAGGAACTCATACCATAGCAGCTGCTTCTAGCCTCCGGGCACCTGAAAGAGCATATTCCAATCTGTGGTCATATATAGCAACAGCAGCCACAGAAAACAAAGGCAGATTTTTGGAATGGAAAAATATGCTGTTGCTGTGGAAAATACCTGAACAAATAAATAGAAATGGTTGTGGAATGAGGCGAAGAGTAGATGGGGAAGTGTTCTGAGACAGAAGCATAGAAAAGAAATCTAGAGCCA